TTCCTCCTTCCATACTAATGCCCTTGTCCCCTAACCCCTAGAAATACACTTCTAATCTTGTGTAGTTCCGTCAGAACATCTCCCGCACTCATTCTCTCACTTGGAAGTTCAGCAGCACATGAAACTCCAATTTGAAATACCGATACAAGACAAATCTTCAATTTAGAAATGTTGGTTGAGCAACATTGTTGAGTCCTACTTGGCTCCTCTTCATCTTCCAATATCATTTTGGGATCAATGATCTCCATTACTTGATCCGGGAGACACATTTTTACATAGTTACAAAGGTTATTGCTCATAAACATGTTATTAGTAGGTCTTTTCCTTATGAACATTTCCAATAGTAACACTCCATAACTATACATATCTCATTGTGTTGATACCTCCTCACCTATACCGTACTCTGCAATATGAAACAGTGAAAAAAAAAAAAAAAGCCAAAATTTTTAATTTTAGTATAATTGTTGAACTAGTAAATTGTATATCTTTTCATAATTAAAAAAAAAATCTTCTGCAACATTTCAAAAGATAAAATAATCTCAAGATTTGATATCTATGTTCAGATATGATAGGGGTAGGACAATTTGATTTAATTTGTTGTGTTAGCTGAACACACAAAAAAGCATAGGCAAGGAGAGTCATGTCTAGAATCACTAAAATGATGCTTAATTTCTATGTAATCTCATAATTGGTGTTTAGTTCACCTCAAAGTAATAAAAATGAAACTAAATAATATTTCTTAATCAATTTCTGTGCACTGATTTGACTCATTTTATGCTAGCTCATTATTCAATTTGTTCGGTTTCTTAATAAATAAATATAATAATGTAAGGTTTCATAGTCGATTTTTATGTATGTACCCATTCTTTCTCCTTCTAAACACACATTAATATGTACTAATTGGGCGTTGTTTTTTTTTTTTTTCACCTGGGCTAACATAGCCAACAGTTCCTCTAATCCCAATTGAACTTGATTGTTGACGATTGGATAGACTGGTGATTGCTAAAAAAATATTTGCCAAGCCAAAATCACTAACATGGGCACACAAATCACCATCAAGGAAAATATTACTTGGCTTTAAATCACAATGAATAAAAGCCATTTCACAATGATGGTGAAAATAATCCAATGCAGAAACCACATCAATTGCAATGTTTAGCCTTTGAACAAAATTCAAGTTCTTAGGTTCTTGCTGCTCTGAAAGACTTGGGTGTAACCATCTCTCTAAACTCCCATTTTCCATGAACTCAAAGACCAAGGCCTCGAAATCATTGCCTTTAAAATCAATACCTGAGCAAGACGTGATTATCCTGACAAGATTTCTGTGGCGAATTTTCTTCAATGCTTCACATTCTGTTATGAAACTCTTGCTCGCTCCTTGTTTGTGAAGGTTGAGTACCTTCACGGCAATAATATGTTAACCAAAGTTGAGAATCCCTTTATAAACAAAAGCATATCCTCCATCACCAATTAAGTTGTCTGGAGAGAACCCATCGGTTGCTTGAAGAAGTTCTCCATAAGAGAATTGTAGATAATGGTTTTGCAATGGCAGGGCTTGACGTGATTGTTGTCTGGACCTTCTCATTCAATAAAGAAAATCTAAAAGGAAAAATAATAATAGAACAATAGTGAGAGTAACTACTACAGTTATTGCTCTATGATTTACAGATCGTTTCCTTTCCTTTGAATCTTTCACCGAACATGCAGGTAATTGCAATTCTTCAATTCCTCCACAAAGCTTACTATTTCCAGCAATTGAGAAGGCACTGATGTTTGTGAAAACTTCTCCATTTGGAACTACGCCTTGAAACATATTGTAAGAAAGATTGACCACAATCTATGGTAACATTGGATTTCCTATATGGTATTGCCATTAATTATGTTATTAAATAATAATATTGGGGGTAAATGTGTCAACAAGAAACCCATAGGACTTATAGGAACATAAGTTTTTTCACAGGACTATATGTGGCATAAGTCTTCCAAATAGGACTTATGTGACGTGATGTGAACATTGAGTGTAATGTGGAAAAATGAAATATGACAATTGGAATCCTCAAATGTGTACCCTCAAATTTTGATGACAATGTGTACATGACTTTTGAAAATAGAATGTGATGTCAACAACTGTGGGTTCGTATTGATACATTTTGTAAGTCAACACTTGGGTCTTCTAGTACGTGATAATAATTGATGGCGAAACATGGCAAAATCATCAACAAGATGCGTTTTGCTTATTTATTTCAATAATTATAACACTAGTAGATGATGTTAAAGGCAGAACTTTATGTAGATTGCATACAGTTACCCAAATAGTAAAACATAACACTAGTAGATGATTTTGCCATGTTTCACCACCAATTACTACTACTAGAAGACCCAAGTGTTGACTTACAAAATGTATCAATATGAACCCACATTTGTTGACATCACATCCTATTTTCAAAAGTCATGTACACATTATCAAGATTTGAGGATACACATTTGAGGATTCCCATTATCACATTCCATTTTTCCACATTAGATTCAATGTTCACTTCATGTCACATTGACTTCATAAGTGTGTACACTTTTACATTGCGTTTCATAGTCTAGAGCCAATGATTGGTGGATGTTCTAAGTGCATCATTGTCTCATTTCCCAATTGGGCTATGTACATGAGAATGTAACTTTCACATTCAAAGTGAACTCACATTTATATTGGGATGTTTACATTTCATATGAAAAATAGTTATGTTTCTCTTTCAAACTGTGCCAATAAATTTGACGCAATGGCCACTAACATGTGAATCCATCACATTGCCTTTATGTTTCACAATAAATCAGGTTGATGTAAACTGCCACTATGTTCACATTAACCTGGATTAAGACATTAATGTTGTCGAGGACAACAAATGCAGCAGCTTGAAAGTCGCTTAACTTGTACCCATTTTAATGAACAAGCATAAAATGGGGGTGGCAACAATACCATTTATAGTAAAATTAGATTTCTCATGTATGGAATGTCAATTTTAAAATTCAAATTCCCAATCACATATATATGATCACAATCTATGACTATATTGGATTTCCTATATGGTATTGCCATTAATTAGGTTATTAAATAATATTGGGGATAAATGTGTCAACAAGAAACCCACTGAACTTACAGGAACATAAATTTTTCACAGGACTATATGTAGCATAAGTTTTCTAAATAGGACTTATAAATAATTTATCCCTACAAAAAATATAACCAATCATAATCAAATATTTTAATGGGAGGCATTTCATCCCCCGAAAATGGGGGAGCCCGAATCCCCCGAAATTCCATTTCAGGTAAAAAAAAAAGGAAAAAAGAAAGAAAAAAAGAAAACAGTTTCCAAAATTGGAAATTAGGTGGATTAGGGGGCAACTTTTTAGGGCTACAAATCATTTCCCTATTTTAAAATAATATCATAACTAAAAAAAAAAAATATTTGGTTATAACATAAGAAAAAAATGGCGCACTAAGTGTGCATATGGTTTGAGGTGTTGGTATGGGGTGTATAATAGAATTCTCCCTCTTTTGTAACTACTTATATCTCTTGTTCTCTGTCCATATACATTATACACATTCAGCATGTTTCACTTTAAAATTTTTATCTTTCCTGGTAATTTGAACATATGTAATGATTCTCATTATCAGTAATGGTAGATTTGGGGTTTGGAAGGGCTGCATTTGTCTGGTAATACTCAAATCTGATACAATTTATGCTCATGTATCTCCAATTGCTCTGTTATGTCACTCCTCTCTGAATCACTACAAATTTTGGAGGGATTTAGGTTTTTTTTTTCAATGTGGTTCTGCATCTACTGGGTTACACAATCAAATTTAATATTCACTTATGCTGTGTTTGGTTGGGAGATTTGGGGAGGAATTTGGAAAGGGAAATGGAAAATGTAGGTGAAATGTGAATAAAATATGCCTATATTTCACCTAGTTTCACACACTTTTTCCCTTTCCCTTCAAAAATTCCTCTCCAAATCTCTCAACCAAACACAGCATTAGTAAATGTTGTGAGACTGATACATCCACTGATGGAATAAGTGGGTACGTCATCTTTCATTTGTATGGCATTTGGATTTTGTAGATGAGGGGGCTATTTTTACATGGAGGCCATGTTTGTTTGGGCAGATATGGTATTGGATTTAAATTAATAATTATCCAACAAAATACATAATCCTAGCTTTGGGGGAATATGAATCCCAACATAGAAATTAAGGTCCAAACTAATAGTCCACCCAGATATGATGTCTTATATGGGGGACTATAAATACCAATGGGGCGGAATACAAAATTAATAGCATTTTGTCAATTCCACCCCATAATCTTAAACCAATCCAAACATTGGATATGATACACAATTAAAATGATTGATAATTTCATAATTAACCATCCTTAGTAAAAATACTAATCCAAGTTTATCTGGTTGCCCAAACAAACCTAAACGTTGGTGACAATGACTTGGGATGGATGGAGCCAGCGTTGGTGCAGTTGGAGACTGTTGGCACAGTGGAATCAAAGAGAGGGAGCGAGATTGTAGTAGAGATAATGAGGGCTTAGGGAAAAAATGTCTAATTTTTTATTTTCACAATAAAATATACATGGATAAATTACACTATACACTGAATCCCATTTTACACTCTGTTGTGTTAGCTGTCGGTGTCTTTCCTTGGTTGATTCTGAATCATTTTTGGCTCAAAATTTGAACTTTTTACGACTTGAAATTAATTCGAAAAATGTTTAGGGACATAAATACGAGTTCAAAAAGTGGTCCGGACTCAAAAAGTGCTCTGTTAGCTGTCGGTGTCTTTCATTGATATTGATTAATTGAAGCACTTCAAGGCAATATTTTGTTTTACTCATAATAAAACTATCATATCTCCTTTCAGTTATATACATTGATAGTTTTAGTTTTGCATCAAAGTAATATGTATCTAGTACCATGACACCATTAGACTCAATGATTGTATGGAAATCATTTATGATGAGAGTGAAATCAACATTAATGACAACATATTCCCTATGCTTTAATAATTTATATGAGCAGTTAGTATTTGATGAACGATAAATTCATAATCCATTATGCTATGAGCTAAAGTTCTGTTTTTTTTCTTCCTTTTACGGCATCAGTTTTTGTTTTGAGCCAAGCTCTCTTATTTACATTAGAATTACTTGAGAGCATAATCCAGAGAAATAACAATGATAAAATGAGATGGAGAAGGCATATGTAACATAGAGAAACCATAACTAGTTATGAATGTCAATGACAATACCACACAACCACTTTCATGACTTATATCTAGCTTACCAATTATAGATTCAGTAAAGGAAAGAGAAGGAAAGGAAACACTACAATATAAAGATAACCTATAGATGTGGCTATAGTTAAAAATCATTCCTCCTTCCATACTAATGCCCTTGTCCCCTAACCCCAAGAAACACACTTCTAATCTTGTGTAGTTCCATAAGAACATCTCCCGCACTCATTCTCTCACTTGGAAGTTCAGCAGCACATGAAACTCCAATTTGAAATACCAGTACAAGACAAATCTTCAATTTAGAAATGTTGGTTGAGCAACACTGCCGAGTCCTACTTGGCTCCTCTTCGTCTTCCAATGTCATTTTGGGATCAACGATCTCCATTACTTGATCCGGAAGACACATTTTTACATAGTTACAAAGGTTATTGCTCATAAACATGTTATTATTAGGTCTTTTCCCTGTGAACATTTCCAATAGTAACACTCCATAGCTATACATATCTCCTTGTGTTGATACCTCCTCACCTATACCGTACTCTGCAATATGAAACAGTGGGGAAAAAAAAAAAAAAAAAGAAGCCCAAATTTTTAATTTTGGTATAATTGTTGAACTAGTAAATTGTATGGTAATTAAAAAAAAAAATCTTCTTCAACATTTCAAAAGATAAAATAATCTCAAGGTTTGGTATCTATGTTCAACTATGATAGGGGTAGGACAATTTGATTTAATTTGTTGTGTTAGCTAAACACACAAAAAAGCAAAGGAAAGTCATGTCTAGAGTCACTAAAATGATGCTTAATTTTTATGTAATCTCATAGTTGGTTTTTAGTTCACCTCAAAGTAATAAAAATGAAACGAAATAATATTTCCTAATCAATTTTTGTGCACTCATTTGACTCATTTTATGCTAGCTCATTATTCAATTTGTTCGGTTCCTTAATAAATAAATATAATAATAATGTAAGGTTTCATGGTTGGTTTTTAGGTGTGTACTCATTCTTTATCCTTTCAAACACACATTAATATGTACTAATTAGGCGTCGTTTTTTTTTTTTACCTGGGGCAACATAGCCAACTGTTCCTCTAATCCCAACTAAACTTGATTGTTGATGATTGGATAGACCAGTGATTGCTGAAAAAATCTTCGCCAAGCCAAAATCGCTAACATGGGCACACAAATCAGCATCAAGAAGAATATTGCTTGGCTTTAAATCACAATGAATAAAAGTCATTTCACAATGATGGTGAAGATAATCCAATGCAGAAGCCACATCAATTGCAATGTTTAGCCTTTGAACAAAATTCAAGTTCTTAGGTTCTTGCTGCTCTGAAAGACTTGGGTGTAACCATCGCTCTAAACTCCCATTTTCCATGAACTCAAAGACCAAGGCCTTGAAATCATTGCCTTTAAAATCAATACCTGAGCAAGATGTGATTATCTTGACAAGATTTCTGTGGCGAATGTTCTTCAATGCTTCACATTCTGTTATGAAACTCTTGCTCGCTCCATGTTTGTGAAGGTTGAGTACCTTCACAGCAATAATTTGTTCACCAAAGTTGAGAATCCCTTTATAAACAGAAGCATATCCTCCATCACCAATTAAGTTGTCCGGAGAGAACCCATTGGTTGCTTGAAGAAGTTCTCCATAAGAGAGTTGTAGATAATGGTTTTGCAATGGCGGGGCTTGACATGATTGTTGTCTGGACCTTCTCATTGGACAAAGAAAAGCTAAAAGGAAAAATAATAATAGAACAATAGTGAGAGTAACTACTACAGTTATTGCTCTATGGTTTAAATATCGTTTCCTTTCCTTTGAGTCTTTCACCAAACATGCAGGTAATTGCAATTCTTTAATTCCTCCACAAAGCTTACTATTTCCAGCAATTGAGAAGGCACTGATGTTTGTGAAAACTCCTCCATTTGGAACTTCGCCTTGAAACATATTGTAAGAAAGATTGACATATTGAAAGAAAGGAAACTTGCCTAGAAACATCGGAATCTGTCCAGACAAGTTATTGTGAGAAACATCTAGGAATTGAAGACCTTTAAGTTGTTCGAAAGATTTGGGAATTGTACATTCGAAAAGGTTATTCCCCATTATGAGATATTCTAAAACTTGACAACTACCAAGAGCGACTGGTATTTCTCCAAACAGTTTGTTGTTTGAGACATGTAGTTCCTCTAGATTTTTCAAGTTGCCTACTTCTTGTGGTAGTAGTCCTGTTAGGTGGTTTTGATTCAAGAAGAGAGCAATGAGAGAAGAAAGATCAAAGATTTGTTGAGGTATTGGTCCAGTGAGGTAATTGTATCCAAGATGGATTACTTGTAGATTTGTACAATTACCGAAAGACATAGGTATGCTTCCTTCTATCATATTACCACAGAGGTAAAACATACCAAGTCGAGTTAGGTTTCCAATAGAGGATGGAATATGTCCAGAGATGTTATTTTGGCAAAGCAACAACCTTTCCAACATGGACAGTTTTCCAATGGAATCAGGAATACTATCTGTGAGCATGTTGTTACCTAAATCGAGCATCCGCAAATTTACAAGGTTCCCAATACCCAGAGGTATGCTTCCAAATATATAGTTCTCTGCTAGACCAAACCAAGTGATCTTGGTGGAGAGATTTGCAATGGCATGGGGAAACAAACCTTTTAAACCATTTCCACCCAGTTCCAGAGTTTGTAAATTGGAACAATTGGATAAAGAAGTGAAGAAGTTCATTATTTCATTGCCTTCATTTGTTCCAAGTGAGTAGCTATGAGCTAGTAATAGTTCTAGAGAATCAAGGGTACCTAGGTTCATTGGCATGGGCCCGGTAAAAAAATTGCCACTAAGACTAATTTGTACAAGTCTCGTAGCATTGGCAATTGACAATGGCACAGGGCCATACAACTGATTGTTTCCAATATAAAATCCTTGTAAATTTGGAAGGGTCAAGCCTAAATCTGGTGGGAGAATTCCATGCAATTGGTTGCTAGTGATAGAGAAGTAATAGACTGATGAGATGTTGTAAAGTGATGGAGGAACTGTACCGGACAAATTGTTTACTGCCAGTTGAAGAAACTCCAACTTTGAAAGCTGCCCAAGTTCGGTGGGAATGGTTCCCTCTAGATTATTGCCCACCAGACCAAGCACACGTAGACTGGAAAGATTCCCAATTGAAATTGGGATAGTTCCAGTTAGATGATTGACTCCAAGATTCAAGTGCCAAAGATTGGACAAGGAACCCAGCTCAGTAGGAATTTTACCTCCTAGATTGTTACCACGCATACTGATAACTCTCAAGTGTGAACAATGAGTCAAATTGGTAGGAAATTCACCTTGGAAAGAGTTATTCAAAAGCAGAAGATGCTGCAGATGAAACAACTTGCCAATTTGTGGTGGGATTTCTCCATGAAAACTATTGTTACTGAGATCAATCGTCCTAAGGAAGGTGAGGTTCCCAATTTGAGGAGATAGAGAACCCACCAATGTTAGAGATGATATGTTTAGGATTGTCACACGTTGATGTCGACGACCGCATGAGACTCCTTGCCAATTGCAAAAGTGAACGGAATGATTCCATGAGCTTAAGGTACTGAAAGGATCTACTGTTATTAGATCCTTGATTGCAAGCAGGGCTTGATGGTCTGTCTCATTTGTGAAGGGGAAACTAGTCTTGGATGATGATCCAAGAGAGATCATGGCGAAAAACAAGAAAATGAAACAGAGGAGAGGTGTGTTTAGTTGCCTCATAAACAACATATCCATTTGTTCCATTTGGTGTCTAAAACACATATGAAGTGATGAAAAATGAGCTGATTCAATTACGCTACCAAAGTAAGAACCACATGTATATACAATGACAAATATATGAACAGATGGAAAATTGATCAATGGTCCCATAGTACCATAGTATGTTTTAATGTTTTTTCTATCGATGTTGTAAAAAAATAATGATGAAATCGACTTTTGTCTCTGATTTGATAGTCAGTTGACTCCACTAATGCTTTTATTAGTCAGTAGCATCATATTAACATGATGAGTAACTACTATGAGTTGATATATTTATTGATATACATTGATTAATCTCTATATCATTATTATTATTGTTTTATTTAGATTTTAATGGGCCAACATGACAACATAGGTTCCAATTGCCGGGAGATTAAAAATTGTTCTTGACTTGCTTTCTCTGCCGTCTTTTAACTCTTAGTCAGGAATGGTCACTAAATTGATGTTGATTTAGAAATGTGGATCGTTGATTCCAAGCCAAATGTCGCACATGAGAAAATTATCAATAATTAATGTACTGATGATCATATTATTTTGCCATACCATTTCATCTGTCCACACAGGCTTTGGTACCAAATATGAGTAGTAGTGTTTACACATTGGTGATAAACATACTACTATAATTATTAATTTAATATAGGGAAATTCTATAATACATACCTCATTTTGAGGTGTGTACCATATGCCCTACTTATGACGTCAGTGATTTTTGGTTATAACCTATTATGGTTAGTTATGACATGGTTATAACTTATTGTGATGTTAGTTATTACTCATTGGGATGTTGGTTATGATTATATTTTTTTGTTATGATTGAAAAGGTCTTTGTGCATATTTTATGTGGTATTTGATTTGATTATTATTTTATTTTTTTTAAATTATGATTGAAAATGATTTAATTATGATATTTGTAGTAATTAACATCACAAATGTCATAACTTGCATATGATACGCACTCTTTTAAGGGTGTATTATAATATGACCAATTAATATATTTTATATTTATCCATTACAATATCAGCATAAAACTGAGTCCATTTGTTTAAATTAGTAATTGTTAAGTTACAACTTGTTCTAAATATTCAGAATTTTGTAGCAGAATATGAGGGAGAAAACTGACTCATCAATTAATGCCTATTAATATAGGGAGATTTCAGATCAGTGTAGAATTTGAAAAATAATTACTCCTACAAATTAGTGATAAACTTCATCAATATTAACAATTAAAATTATAATTTTTTTCATACATATGTAATAATTTCATCACATCTGACAGGTAATTTTTCCATTAAAATATGCATGAGAGATGGCTGACTCGTTAATTTAGTCCCCATTAAAATATGAGTGATATTGATTAGTCTTTGATGCATGATAACTCATAATCTACTATGTTATGAACTAATTCTTTTTCTTTTTTTTTTAGTGGTATCAGTTATTGTTTATGGCCAAAGCTCTTACATGCATAATAGAACTAAGTGAGAGCAGAAAACTCAAAACATACAAAAATAAGATGTAGAAGGAAAATTATGTGTGTGTGTGTGTGAGAGAGAGAGAGAGAGAGAGAGAGAGCATCAACATAAGCTAGAGATGCGGTTAATTCAGTTGAGAATCATTCATCCTCTCATTCTAACGCCCTTGTCTCCTACTCTTGAGAAATACATTTCTAATCTTGTGTAGTTCTGTAAGAACATCTCTAGCTGTCATTCTCTCACTTGGCAATTCAGAAGAGCATGAAACTCCAATTTGAAGGATTGGTACAAGGTACACCTCCAATTCAGAAATGGAAGTTGAGCCACTTTGCATGATCCTACTCAGCTCCTCTTCTTCTTCCATTATGATTTTAGGATCAATGATCTCTGTTACTTGATCAGGAAGAGACATTTTTGCGTAGCTGTGGAGGTTAATATTGCCGGTAAACATACTACCGGTAGGTCTTTTTCTTGTGAATATTTCCAGTAGTAGCACTCCATAACTATACATATCACCTTGTCGATACCTCCTCACCCATACCATACAAAACAGTTAAATAAAGACCCAAATTTCAAAATTTTCAACATTTAAAAATGGGTAAATTACATTCGTAGCCCCTCTATTTTGGCCCCTGTGTCATTTTGGTCCCTATAATTTCAATTGACTCGATTTTGACAATGAATTTATGACTGTCTCAATTTAGTCTAATTGATTACAAATGTTAACATGTTTAATAGAAAATACACACATAAGTGGTATGAGTCATATTTTTAGAAGCAAAATTAATAAACTTGGACAACTTCGTAAGTTAATTTCAACCAATTTGGTGATTATTTTCATCAAAAAAAACGCTAACAATATTATCAATTTGACCAAATTGACACAAAATCTAAAATTAAGGATCAAGATTGAGCCAATTGAAAGTGTAAGAATTAAAATGACACAAGGGACAAAATGTAGGGATTACTAGTGTAATTTACCCTTTAAAAATATAAAATTAACTCAAGGGTTAATATTTATGTTGGGATGCCAGAAGGATAGGAAAATTGTTGATTTAATTTATTGTAGCAGCTAAACACAACTTGGTAAATTTCTGAAGGGTGTCATCTCTAACATCACTGAAAGTCTAGAAGCATAACTTCTATATAAACTTGTACTTAGTTTTTAGTTTACCACAAAGTGATAAAGAAAATATATAACACTTCTTAATCAATTTCAGTGTAAAGATCAATAAATATCGACAAGTACCTGGAGCAACATATCCAACAGTTCCTCTAATGCAAATTGAACTTGATTGTTGATGATTAGATATGGTGGCTGAAAGAATCCTTGCCAGGCCAAAATCACCGACATGGGCACATAAGTCATCATCAAGAAGAATATTACTTGGCTTCAAATCACACTGAATGATAGCCACTTCACAATGGTGGTGAAGATAATCCAAAGCAGAGGCAACATCAATGATAATATTTAGCCTTTGAACAAAGTTCAAGTTCCTAAGGTCAACTTGTTCTGGAAGACTTGGGTGCAGCCAAGTCTCTGAACTCCCATTTGTCATGAACTCGAAGACCAACGCCTTAAAATTGTTGCCTTTAAAATCAATACTAGAGCAAGATGTGATTACCTTGACAAGATTACTGTTAGGTCCCTTGATTGTCAAAACCGGGTACAAAACTTTGTGTTGAAAAAGTTGTAATTTTTCCTGTGTTCTTCCCGCTCGAGCGGGATCATTGGCGCTCGAGCGGAGATTGGGTTCTCTCAGTATTTTGTCAGGTCTGTAAAAATACTGGAGCGGGTTCTCAAGCGCTCGAGCGGAATTCTGTTTGATCACACGCATGTTTTGCTGAATCCGCTCGAGCGGGATGTTGGGCGCTCGAGCGGAGATCGCGGACTCAGGTTGCCTATTTATACCTGTTTAGGTTGATTTTAGGTTTTACTTTTCCTAGATCTTATTCAAGAGTCCTACGGTTTTGTTTGAAATTTTCTTCTGAGGTTTTTGTGAGTTTTCCTTGATGTTTTTGAGAGAGTTCTAAACTTATGATTTGAGATTCATACATCAAGGAGTTTGTTATTTTATATTCAAGAGAGTTCTCTTCGGAGGATTCCGAAGATTCAAATGTAGAGTTTCAAAAGGCGTTTGATTCTGTACGTAGTTGTTAATTCGACAAGTGAAGTTGTGGATTCAACTTCAGGATTGATCAGTTTCGAGACGAAGGTGTGGTGAAAAAGTTACAGAAGATTCGAAGACAAATTGACTGAGTTGGATAATTTGTGTATTATCTTTGTAATCTTTCTTTCTTCAGTAGTGGATTGATTAGTGGCGATTCGCCCGTGGTTTTTTATTACAATTGAAGATTCTTCAATTGTGATTTTTTCCACGTAAAAATCGTTTGTGTCAATTTATTGTTTATTCAGGAAAACAACAATCTAAATCACTTTCGTAAGTGCTTGATGATTTAGATTGCGTGTTTTGAATAATTGGAATTTGGAATATTTTAATCTTGATCTAATCACAAATCACTTTAGGATTTTCAATTGGTATCAGAGTAGGTCACTCTATTTTTTAAAAATATAGGAGTGTGATTTTGTGTGACTAGTGATATGGATTCTATTCATGAAGGTAACTCGACCCATTGACCTCCTTTACTCGATGGTACAAACTATTCTTATTGGAAAGCTCGTATGAGTGCGTTTTTAAAATCCATCGATGAGAAAGTTTGGCACAGCGTAATCTATGGGTGGAGTGAACCTACTGTCACCGTTGATGGTGTTGATATTCCTAAACCCCTTGATAAATGGGACATAACTGATTACCAAATCTCGAGTTGGAATAGTAAGGCTCTGAATTCCCTGTTTTGCTCCGTCACACCTGAAGAATTTCGTCGTATCTGCACGTGTGAGGTAGCAAAAGAGGCTTGGGACATTTTGGAAACGATTCACGAAGGTACTACTTCTGTCAAAAGGTCAAAACTTCAACGTCTCATCTCCGCTTTTGAAACCCTTTTTATGCGCGATGATGAGACGTTTGATGATTTCTATGCAAAACTTAGTGATATCGTGAATTCCTGTTTCACACTCGGGGAAAAAATCCCGGAAGCTAAATTTGTTGGAAAAATTTTGAGGTCCTTACCCGAGAGGTTCCAATCAAAAGTGATAGCCATTGAGGAGGCTCAGAATGTTGATACCCTCAAGCTTGATCAGTTGGTTGGAAACTTGCAGACTTATGAAGCCCACCAGATTTCAAAGAAAAAATAAAAAGATAGTGTGGCTTTCACTAGTGCTCATGAGACTGCAAAAACTCCGGAGACTGAATTTGATTTAGAGTCTGAGATGGCGGCTATGTTTACTAAACAGTTTAAAAAAATTTGAAGAAAAAGAAGCCTAATTTCAGAGACCCTATTTCAAAAGACAAGAGTAATGAAAAATCCAAAACTTTTCCACCAAAACTTGCTCCAAAAACTGAAAAGAAGATTGTAAAAGGACAAGGGGTCAAGTGCTATGAATGTCAAGGGTATGGTCATATTGCCCTTGAATGCCCTTCGAAAAAGAATCGAAAGAAAGTCTACACTGTGACCTGGCATGATGAAAGCGGATCGGAGCAAGAACTCGAAGAACCTGAATCCGGTGAAGACGGGGATAGT